ACACATAGACTGTACTATGTAACACACCTTGAACACATGCTCTGTACTCTGTAATATAGCTTGAACAGATGCATTGTACTCTGTAACATAACTTGAACACATGGACTATACTCTGCAGCAGAACTTGAACACGTGCACTGTATTCTGTAACCCAACTTGAACACATGGATTGCTCTCTGTAATGTAATTTGAACACATGAATTTTATTGTGTAACTCAACTTTCAAGCTTGCACTGTACTCTATAACAGAACTGACCATTCTGGAAACAATAAAACTAGCTTGCTGGTTTGCCAGTTCTTGAGAATGATAATAAAGTTAATCTGAATAAAATAATAAATTAATGAATAAAATAAACAGCATTAAAATAAGTAGTTATGTTTTTAATTCTTACCTATAAATCTGATTTATAAATGGCTTTAGTAAAGTTAATAATAATTATAGTTCATTTGCTTAAACTAATTCATACCCTAAATGTTGTTTCTCATGAAAATTGATGAAATATGTGCCTTGACCACCACTATTTCTGTCGTATCACATTTGGATCAATGGGCCCTGGTATTAGTTGAAAGGCCTCGTCGACATTGGATGTAGCAGATGCAATATGGATGACACATTATATTGTCCTTTCATTTCAGTCATGGGTCCTTAAAAGTACTTGAACATGTGCATTGTACTCTTTAAGATAACTTGAATCACAGGTACTGTACTTCCTACCCAACTTGAACATGACTCCTTACTTTGTAAGCTTAAGAGAAGAGTAAAAACAGGAATTTTTATGTTTGAATATTAGAAGATATCATTATCAGAAAACTTGGGTACCTTCTAAATATCTAAAAGTGATTCAGAGTTTGTGAACAATTAAAAAGTGTTAATATACTTTAAAAATTCTAACAGACAGAAAAAATGCTTAATTAAATCCTGAATTACAGTAACATTACTTAAATTGTGTGTTACTATAATTGATTAAACCTCATGTCGTAGTAACTTTAAACAAATCTAGATTTTTAGAGTAACTAACTGATACATCTGTTCAACTCACAGAGAAGATATAGGGGCCCCTATGATGACATGGTGGAGACAAATTGAAACAAGCACCTATCAAGATCAAACTTGGCAAGATCACTTCTAGAGATTTAAGGGTTATCTACACCAAATTTGGTGGTAATTGGTCTAGTTGTTCATCAGTTATAAGCAGACACCCACTCCATACACATACTCACAGTATTTTGCAAAGTAATGGTTTAGATAATGATTAAACCATTTATTATTATACAAGATTATAAAAAATTGTTAATTTAAAAAGGGGAAATAGGTATTTTCTAAAAATTACAAAAACAAGTTAGATAGCTTAAAGTGAAAATGCAATTGCAAAAAAGTAAACAAACAAGCTTAAGGTTTGAGATATAGTGTTGACATTATTTCCTCAAACTACAAATCCCTATTTTGACTCCATGTGTAAAAGCTGTAATATTTAGGAAAGTCGACAGTATGTCTCAAACCTCAAGCTTGTTTTTTACTTTTTTGTGATTGCATTTTTACTTTTAAGTTACCAATCTTGTTTTTGTAATTTTTTAAAGATCCGTATTCCCCCCTTTTTAAATTAACAATTTTGAATAATCTTGTATTAATAGACTTTTACTCTGTCCATTTCTGATGGAGAGTTTGGGTCGTGACACTTCTACAACCCTCTTCAACTATGATAACCATAAACTCTGGTGGGTTGTTGCTGTTGCATACTTTATCTAAAACTAAACATTTTATAAATAAAGTACACAGCTACGAAACTTCTGCCTTACTTTTCCCAAGAATCACCATAATTTTTGCCATATCCTGCTTGTATGATTCTTACCACTCCTTATAGTCAGCTTCAAGGATGGCTACTCTATCTGCAGTATCTATGAAATTCACAATCACACAGTATTGGTATATTTTGACACTTACCATCAGCCATCACGTCGATTGCTGATCTGATGCTCGAAACTGAGCTTGATGCTATCTTTTAAACTATTGCTTAAAGATTCCTGTTGTGGGAGACAGCGCAGATTTTTGTATAATGTTGCAGATGCTTGTGTAACATAGCCTATGATCCTGTCAGCAGCTTTGTGTCCAAAAGGGCAGGAATCCTACACATAAACAAATGATATGCATCATCAATACAGTTGCAATAATAAGTTAATAATCACTATACTACATGTCATGCCTGCCATATAAACATTAAATTACATCCATGGCCTGCATGTAGCTATACATGTATGCATGTTGTAAATTATGGGGCTTCATATAAGCCACATTAAAATGACTGGGTGTCAGTGGTTATACAGCTGCTGTTATTTGCTAGGTAGTCAAATACACTTAAAACTAACCTACACAATGTGCAATGATGCATTTAGTAATATTGCCCAGGTTTTATTACAATACTCACAGCCATTTTGGCTGTAGGTTGGCGGAACAATATTCAATAATAATAAAGAAGAACAAATTGTTGATTATTAATATGAACCACTACCATGGTTCATGATAGCTGTGTAACTTAAGAGTCTCTTAACCTTATAAAATAAAAACCTCCTCTCTTTTCTGATTGTTGAGATATCACTATATTTAGCGAATCAAACAGTGGTCCTGCCCACCTCTTCCATTTTTAGAAATACTTTCTTACACACACCTTCTTTGCTCCATCATGTGTTTATAATCAATCAAAAGGTCAGGATTTCCCCCTCGTGGTTTTCTCATCCTCTTTAAGGTGGGAATTTCCCAAGATTATTTCATTTGTATCGAATCTCGAAAGGAAGGGGTAAGTGAAAATGTTCAAAAAACATTATATTTTTAGACACAAATACAGTTATTTAGTAAGCCTGATAAATTACAGTGGAATTCTGTGATATTGATTGAGTAATTTATAGTTTTTATTTATTTTAAAATGCATATATAATACCTAAAATAGTTATTTTGTTTTACATTCTCCAAGTGTGAAATTTGGTAAGGCTTAGCATGCAAAGTATGGCATGCTAGGTAGAGCAAGTGAGTACAAGCTTCTTTACAATCATAAGTAGTAGAAATCATTGTGTTCTATATTTCTTTGTTCTATGTTTTAAGAAAATGACTGAAATTTAAGAACTTATTTGTAAATAATAATAATATATTAGGTAGTCAAGAAATTAATGTTGCGTTTTGGAACACTTTCATTAACCACCTCCCAAAAAAATTTACATCACGTATAATAGTTATATGAACTGCCTAAACACCATGTTAGTGTAGCCTATATAATGTGTAAAGTTTAGTATACTGTAATCCCTTATAGTGATATACGACGAGACATCTTGTAATGTAATGCTGTTTGAATACAAGAAGGGAAACAATGCCTCTGTAGCCACAAAGAAGTTTATGGAAATGTTTTAAATGTTCGTAAGTGTCAACGATTGTTCAGCAAATTTCGTTTAAGTGACTTTAGCCTTAAAAATTGTAATGGCACTGGCTGACATGTTGGAATTGATATTGATGTTCTAAGGATGCTTGTTGAGTCTAACTCAAGGCAACACACTCATGAAATGGCCCTGAAATTGCAAGTCTATCATGAACCAATACGTAAACATC